AAACCAAACTAGCCTTGGCCAACCAACCTTATCGTACTTCACACGAATCCCCCTCCAAGCCTCATTTGTCATCCCAGATCCAATCCAACAACCTGACATGGCATCCATAAACTGGGAGGCTTCTTCCCTTAATTTCATTAGCTTCTTCTAGTACCAACTGCAAGCAGCAGGAGGCACAAACTTCATAAACGGCCTGCCCTTCATTACATACTCGTCCACCCATCGAACCCAAATGGAGTCATCCTTAATGTCGTAATGTTTCTTTTCAAAACAAAAATGATTTTTATTTATAAGTGTAAAAATTCATATATTTTGAGAGTCGAATAAATTTTAAATCAGAGTCGCCATCAACCTTTGGGTTAGGTAAGTCGAGTACCTAAAAAAAGTCTTAAAAAATAATTTAAATAAAAAAATCATTTTTTAAAACAACTTGATCCATGTTTATTAGAAATTAAATTTTAGGGATCAAAAGTCGTGAACACATGGGGAAGGGTAATCACCCCCACAACATCCAAAGTTAGTACCTAATCGCTCATACTTCATTATGGTAATAGAAATTAAAAATACTAAAATAAAAAATTATCTAGGGATTTATTTTATTGCTTATCAATAAATTCGTTTCGAACTAAAAAAATAGTCTCTATTTTTTAGAAGAGATCACGAGATTTACACGTCCTCCAATGGGAAGGAGACTATCCCATTTATCTCTTCCCTATACGAGAATATTCCTTTACTATTTATTTAGGATCTGACATTAAGCATGAATAAAATAAAAATTAAAAATTAAAACAACATATAAAAAATAAACAAATACATGGTTATTATTAAAATAAGATAATTATTATTTCATTTTATTCAAGCATATTTGTGCATGCTCAATTACTTTTAAGTTCGATTTCGTTTGAACGTCGTATTGAATTGTACTACCTCGATAGGTTACACTTTTCACACCCATTCTACGTAATATGTTCTTGAAAATTGATACGAGCATATATATAAAAATTAGTGATCATTATTGCTTAATCTAAGGGGTATTTTATCATTTTTTTTTAAAATATTTAGAGCATATGAGTTATATTAATACTCAATAAGTTAAAATGAACATGGATACTAAGTAAATGAAACTACTAGACTAAATTAAAACAAAGCTAAAACTAAAGGGACCTATTGGCATTAAATTTATTTATTATTACGGTAAGCATGTCAACCATTTGGCAGAATTGTTATCAGCAAAATAAGAGGAATCCCGAACATAAATTAGCCATTTTTTCACATGTAATAGCTTTAAGGACTAAATCAAAACTATCAAAACATTAATAAACTAAAAAAACCCAAAACATTTTTAACAATCAAACACTAAATAGTGATTAAAACGTGAAATTATTAAAACTTGAATTTCGAAGTAAAATAAATAAAACATTCATTCAGTGACTAAATTGAAAAGTTACAAAGTGTGAATGAATGAACATGAGATTCACCCATGCGCTAAAATGCACAAATCCGCCCCCAAAACGGCTTCGTTTGACTATGGGTATATAAAACCCAAAACTAAGGCCAAAAAGTCTTTCATTTTGTGAAACTCCTACCCTATCTTTCTTGATCTACACACATATAAGCATGCAAGACCTTACCTTCCACAAAGGGGACTTCTTTGCTTCGATGAGAGAGGTCGAACACACTAAACGGTAAGGATTTCTTTCTTTTTTCGGTTTTGAGTTTTTGTTTTCTTTGTACCTTCGATCTCTCTCTCTTTGCTTCAATCATCTCTCATTTTAAATTGAAAAAAGGCCTCCTTTCTTTATCATTTTTTTTGCATGTTAAAAGTTTCTAATTTGCTATCGTTGTCGTTGTTTTTTCCCCTTCTTTTTGAATTTGCAGTCTGATCAAGGAGGGAACATTTTCAGGGACAATGCCCTAAGAAAGTGGCGGTGATGTGAGCAAAGGAAGGGGTAAAAATTTAACCCAAGGCTTCTTTTCTCTCTCAGGAGCGATCGGTGAAAAATCTGGCGGCGACCGCAGTCCTTGGGAGTGGAGGAGTCACAAACGAACGTTTTGATCGGGTGTGTGGGGCTACCTTGTCAATTTTGCAGCAAAGAACAAGTAAAATTGCTTGATTCTCTCCAAGAATCATTCCAAATCCGATAACAATTGATAGGGGATAACAACGAGGTGATTAATGTTGCTCGGAATTGAGGAATCAAGCCTAGGGGTCTAGACTTAATCAAAGAACGAGATGGAAGAAGAATATGATTTTGTTGCAAGCTAGGGTTTTGAATGAAGAAAAAGGTTGCTGGAAATCAAACAAAAAATGATGGTTAAAAATATAATGAATAATGTATAATTGATATGTAAAAGAATTATAAAAAGATAAATAAATGATGAAAGAAGTTGAATTGAAAATTTCTTCCTTTTATGTATAATCTTTGGTGATAAGATGGATGTGGTGATGTAGTTGTCGTAGGATGATAATAAAGAAAAAGATAAATGTCCTACGAACCCTCTTAATCATAATTGATTAGGCAAACTCGATAATCAGTTCTAACCAACTCTCATAATTGCAAAGAGAATGTAAACCAAAGCGTTAAGATCTCCCTCGTTAAGAACTTGAAAGAACTTAATGATAAAGAATACTTCGAAGGCACAAGATAATCAACACTTGCAAAAACGAACAATCGTTGTATTATTAATCAAGGAAATTTATTTTACAAAGTTGAAAGAAGTCCCCTTTATATAAGAGAGGAATTCTAAAAGTCCTAAATAACTAATGAATAAAATAGTAATAAACTAAACATGTTTTAATTCTAATTGTTAATAAAATAATAATAATAATAATAATAATAATAATGTTTTAACTCGATCTTAACTCCTAATAAAATAATAAATCTAATCCTAAAAGATAATGTATCATTTTAGCTTAAATTATATTACACATAATCAATAAAAATATTGAAAAATCCGTAATATTTACAAAATCTCGTATATGGATTTCTGGACGTGTTGTCTTCACTAAAATGAGCATAGCTTGAGTTTTTGATATCAGATTTATACGATTCAAGATCGTAATATAAACATAGCCATCTTATTTAATGTTGGATTCAAAATTTCTTTAAATATTTTTTTATTTTTTAATCCATATTTTTATCTATTAAATATATAGCTATAGTAAATCTTAATTAATTTATATATTTTTAATCATTATTTATAACAAATAGAATTCAATTTCTGAATGAAAAAATATATTTTTAATAATGATTTATAACGAATTTAGATTTGCAAAAAATAGTAGCTTAAAGGATAATTGTGGGTGTTATGTATGAAATTCCGAAGGCATTAAGAATCACACACGTATCTGAAATTGTGCGAATAACGACACTAAAAAACTAATGGTGGGAGGAGCAAAGCTACAAGCTGCCCTCCTCCCAAAACCACATCTTCACATTGATTCTTCACTGTTAATTAAGGAAACAAACAAACAAATCATTGTCAAAACCAAACAAAATGAAGCCATAGACACTTACTTCCAAAAGCTACTCATGCTGCCAACAAGAAGAGACCACAAGTTATCACTAGACAACTCTAGAAAAGAATAGAAAAGAAAAGAGAATCATTCAAGGGGAGAGTGAGTGATGATGATGAAGGGAGCAGCATTGGCAGCCGATATAAAGCGAAATCTCGGGGTGGTTAAGGAAAGGGTGTTGGAGAAACTGGCGGCGGCTGCGGTCCTGGCCGATGCTTTGGAGAGCGTGGTGAGGGATGTCACGGTTGCTGCTCATGGTCTTACCAAGGATGCTTTGCTCCGTATCAAGACTGTCTTCTCCATATTCTTCCTTCTCTTTCTCCTGCATTTACTACCAAGGTAACGCTAATATCGGAGAGCGTGGTGAGGGATGTCACGGTTGCTGCTCATGGTCTTACCAAGGATGCTTTGCTCCGTATCAAGACTGTCTTCTCCATATTCTTCCTTCTCTTTCTCCTGCATTTACTACCAAGGTAACGCTAATATCGTTCTCAGTCCTTTCTGATGCATATAAGATTATTTCTTTTCTCTTCCTTTGAGATTGGTTAGTTTTAGCCTCTGCTTATATTCAGTAACTTGAGCAGATGGTGGATGATGTCGAGAAGGCGGCTAATGAAGAACGCGAAAGAGAAGAAGGAGAAGAGCCAAGGCATGATGATCATCAACTCAGCGGGAAGTCCTCATTTGTTTCGCCTGCATCTTCTCTGTTTGCTTTAATCAAACCATTATCCAGGCTTTGAAGATTATATAGGAAACTCCCAACATACTTTTTTTTTGTCTACATTTTGCTTCGGGGAAAATAAAGTTTAGAGAGCGTATGCAGTCAAATCTCTAGTTGAATAATAATGGAAAATCACTTGATGTAAAGAAAGATGAAGATTCTATAGTTTCTTTAACAATTGCTGTCGTGGAATGTTCTTTCTTTTGCTTTGCATATTAGGTAATGATGATGGAGGCTAAAATGGAATACCAGTCGAGTTATCGCATTTTAAGGATTCAGATGTAGAATTTGATTGTGCTATGAGATATTATCATGTTCAGGCAAGTAAAGCTCATATCAACTGGAGAAGCAAGGCTCCAACACAATTGGCAAAGGCTTCCCTCTACCATTTCAATCATTTGGAAATCAATGAGCACTTCTTGCATAAGCTAATAATGGTCCAAAGATAGCGGCTAGGCAAAGTTTGATGAAAAAAAAAGCGAGCCTTCACCCTTCCCATCCTCTTATAGGCCGGCTTCTCGAAGCTCGAAACGGTGTCAAACTGTCTTTGATTAATTGCAGATTGTTGATACAATAACGCAGAGTGAGCATTAACCAATTTCAAAACCATCCTCTTATATTCAATCAATTTCAAGTTTTCTAGCATGTATCAGTACATGAATGTAGATTCAGTTCCGTGTTATAGATTTGACTATTACCCTCTGACCGATGATTATTTTAGTCAGCAATGGCAATTAACATAAAATGGAATCAAGAAGGAATGAATGAATGGAAAATCCTTTCAGGTTGCTGTAAGAGAGTCATTTACAATTCAAGTTCCATCTTCTCCATCGCCAATCAAATTACAAATATCTGAACACTCCACCAAGCTACACATGAAAAAATTAGTCTTCGTAAGTAGAGTGAATTCATTGGACCAGAGCTTTTAGAAAATGAACAACCAAAGGTCAATTTGAACTATGATGCAATTATACTCTGCCAACAGTTGTTGAGTATAGTCAATTCGCCTGCTAAGCTTTCATCGGCATTGATTTTCAAACTATTCATTCATTCTTATAACTGGTATAGTTTATTGAATAAACTGAATGCTGATTCTGATGATAGTATATATGCAATTCCAATATGAGAAAAAAAGAAATTGTACCAGTAATTTCGACTCCGAAACCCTTCCTTAAAAACCACTGAAGGTCTGCAGAGAAGGAAACAGACAATCAAATTCTCTCAAAAGTAATAATTTTAATCCAGATTCCAGACTACAAGCAGTTTAAGCAAAATGCGATGGATCATTGGAAAGAATTCAAGTACCCTCTTATGTTAAAAGGACGATCTCCAGGAGAACCATCAGCAGTCCCTCAGCAGGCCCAGCTGCAGGGACTAAAACAGCGGCAGCCGCGAGGAAGCTACCTGCAAGAATGCATCGGCGGCGGAATCTGGTGAGGTTGCTCCTACTTTTGCTGGAAATGTTGCTGCTGACACAGTACGAAGAAGTTTTGACACAAAAACCTGCCGCAGGGCCATAAATTATCATTATGGTTTATAATGTGTAGCTCTTTTCTTGCTTATCAATTACTATGTTTTTTCATTTTAGCAGGGTTAAAGAAAACAAAGAGATGTCCCATTTACCTTATCTCTTGAGCTATACTTTCCGTGTTGTTGGTGGTCCTTGCTGGTGTCACTTTGTTATCCACGTGTTGACCTTTTCATTTTTGTGGCTGGCCTGTAATCACCATAACAAGATCGAGGTTACCTCAGAATCCATCCATCCATTACAGTTTAAAATTTGCACCAAGTCACATGAATCGCACGTGAGCATGAGCAAAACAACAGCATCATCATTCTTCAAGCATCTTGTTCATTCAGTAGCACCTGAAAAAATTAAAATAAACAAATATATTCCTTCATCATTTCCATTGCCAATTTCCTCCACGGGTGTATTTGGTTCGATTTTATAATAAAAGATTAACCGAACCATACTATACGGTTTCTCCGAAAGTGAAATCGAAATCAAATGGCATAAAAATTATAACTTTTGGTTCAATTTTATAACTATTCTCCATTTTTCAAATTCAATATCTAAAAAAAACTTAAAGTTTATATCGAGCGCAAACACACAAGTTTAAATTCATAAAAAAATATTATTAGTTTTAAGAATTTATTTATTTAAGTTTGTTTTATAAAAAAAATAAAAATGGATTTGATTTGAATAATTATTTTTTATTTTCTAATTCAGTTTGATTTGAAACAAACAAGTTTTATATGAAAAACCAAAAACGGACCAAATTGTAAAATTAAATATCTAAACCGAACGGAAACCAAACAACAAAATAAAAAAACTCAGATCAAATTGGACCACAAAGTGTTGTTCGGATCGATTTTTCAAAAAAAAATTTATTTCCTTGTTCAGCCCTTATTTCCTCTATCAATTTGGATTAATGAGATCTTGTCATTGTAATTCACTTATCATGTTCTAAACATAACATCTGAATGAATTCACTGGCTCTTAAATGCACATGTCATTCACAAAAACATGTCAACGCTGTTCAGTTTGGATTATGCGACATTCTTGATGTTTTACATCACAGGGAACCATAGATTCAAAAAATCGACGTTTTCTATATGCTATCCACCATACATACATGCACATTTTCTATATCAGACGACATATGGATTTACAGGAAAGAAAAACTATGCATAACCTATAGGACAAACATCGTACGGGCAGAAGAGAACATTAATGCTTTGTTGCAGACATCCATAGATATTAAATCATGAGACTTCCATCTTCCCGTTTATGCAGTTCCAACTGGATGATGTTTCTCAGAGGGTGATGATGACATGTTATAGTTGCACTATAATCATGTGTTCTTTTCCAATACAGACAATGCCGGAGTTAAATAATTGTTTGCTTTGTCGGGCAGATGAGCGACCTGTAGAAAGACAATGCGTATGCTACTTCAGTTCAACTCATTCTCGGTTAACAATCAATTAAAAGTTATTAAGGTTTAGTTTTGTCCTCACCAGCTCATAAAGTTCCCTCCCTTGCTCAGGAACATATTCATGACAGACCTGCACACAATCAATCAAGTTTCTGTTACTGTTGCCGTACTTGAAATAAAATTTTGTGTTACAATGTTACCCACATCAAAGCTCTTATTTCTTGCTGTTGAATCATGCAATGCTTTCACGCAGATATCAGCCACATCAGCACAACTAATTCCCTGATTGAATGAAGAGAGTTGTAAGACGAGATGCAAACTCAGTAGTCCCTTATTGCAGTCTATGATTGTGGTTCATTCTCACCTGAGAAATCCTGTTTCCTTGATCGAATATAAGAGCACGTTGGCCGCCGGGTTCTTCCTGTAAGAATGAATCTTTTATTCAGAACATATTTTGGCCATAAGTCAAGGTTGGATATGAAGAAAAGTTTGAAAACATTTGGTAAACTCCTATTTTCCATTGTAACATACAGGAAGAGGATCACAGCGTCTCTTTTGTAAAGCTAACATACAGCCCTTTAACCATAATGAAGAGATTGGACCACTTTAGCTGGCATAAACCAATGGAAAACACTGATTTTAAAAATGTTCCAAATTAGGCAGATGCAATTGGAAATGCCACGAAACACATTAGGGAGATTCTGTTTCATTGCAACGTTTTTACTGCCTTATCCTTTTTCTTTTCAAGAATCACACATACATTGGAACACCGAGCTTTAACAGTATATAAGCAGGTTCAATGATTCAAGAGAGTTTATAATCACATATGTAAAGGGTTAGCCACGATGAAGACCACCTTCAACGCCCCCAGCAAAAACAAAGTCAGCAAAAATAAAACTTGGGTTTACACCAGGTACGTATAAATTATCAACAGGTTGCCAAGAATGATAAAACATAATTACCATTAGGGGACCAGGGCGAATTATTGTGTACCCAAGACCTGATCTTCTCAATGAATCCTCACCAGCCTGAAGATTACTCAATCATGACAACATAATGCAAGTAAGAAAGGATACCAGAGAAGGAACCATTCCCACATTAATAGAAACAGAAGCAGAAGATAAGACTGACCCTCTTGGCTTTCAAAACTTGCTCTCTTCGGTTTGGCTCAACTCCCAATCCTGTGCATGAGACTAAAATAAAATCTGTTTCCTGTCCCGTCTGCAGAATATCAGGTTTAATTTATTTAGAATTGGGGAAAACGACTGATCTTCAAAATATTGCATGACCAATCAGGTTAAATTTATGTTATAGCATAAAGTATAACATAAAGTGATAGTATAAAATATAAAGTATCACTGAAGGTCCTTCTGTCAACAAAGAACGAATATATATGCAAAACACTTACAGGCAAAGCTTTTATATATTCTAATATAAGCTTGAAACTCCGGGGGTCTTGCTTCATTCCTGCTGATCCTTCAACAGGCCTCTGCAGCAAGAATCAATACAATAAGAATTCAGAAGCTTTAAAAGGAGAATAGTGATTATTTGATCAAGAGGAACAGGAAGTTGGTAAATCCTCAGAAATCAGTGTCACAACAGTATGAATTCTAATTTCAGTGGCAGTGCTGATGTTAGAATTTTATTGCAGCAAATGATGACAAGGAAACATAAGGTCCCCTGACAGAACCCTGTACAGGAATCTTTCGTACAATAGAAAAACTGCATTATCAACATTACAAAGAAAAACACAGCACACACAAAGACGAAAGCCACCACCCATTCAATTAAGAGATGTTTAGACCTTTTATTGTTAATCAACTTATGGACTTGATCACACCACATCTTGCTCAATTAGGAGATGTTTACAGAATAAATGGAAACAATTGCTAGCTCCCATTTTAGAAGAGTGGTAGAAAATACAGGAAACAAAAAACTTATAAGATCTCATCAACAAAAAGAAAGTGACGGCATGAGTCATTAAAAATGTATTACTTTTCCTAGAGATCATAAAACCTGAGAAAAAGAAATTCAGAATAGACTATAGAAGGTATCATTAGAAAAAATGTATTACAAATGCTAAACAAGAATAGTTAACAACGATAATGTACCAAAAACATACCGAGTTTTCCCCTTGTAGGAGAAAGCAAAATTTCTGCATACAACTGTAACGTGAATAAGACAGATTTCAGAGTATCACCTTTTGAGTGCATTTGTGACCAAAGTTCAGACATGCAAGTCTACGATATCTAAATACTAGTAGCTCATTCACATGGTGATACACAAGCAGAAACCATCATTCAAGTGTATTAGAAACTCAAATGCCTACATCAATGGCTCATATATGTGATAAACTCTTCTGTGCAAACAGATGAAATCTCTTAATCACCATCCACAAGTTTCAATATAAGAAATGAACAAGTAAGCTTCGCAGTAGTGAAAATAACTGTCCCAGGAAAGGCAGCATTCAGTATGCACCAACTTTACTCCATAGTAGTGGGAAATCATACGAACATAGGAAAAGAAATCCTTTTTTGATAGATTTGTATTTATATCAAACAGCACTGCTGAAAAAGTTCATTTGACTCCACAATGGATAACCATATAATTTTTCAAGAAGTAACCAAAAGCAGTGAGACTAGATAGATGATTAAGATGCCATGTCTCCTTGGTTCAAAAATCATTTACACAACATAATACCAAGCTAGCACTCAAATCACCAAAGCATTATTACTATTAGTTAATAACTTTTACAGTTTTAACCCTTGTGCTCAGCCAAAAACAGAAGGGAAAAAATGAGAATGCACACAACAAGACCTCAATTAACAACATTTCCTTAGGCAGGTTGTGGAATTTAATATGCCAATTATGAACTATCAACGCACTTGATAATAGTAACAAAATACAACCTTGAAAACCGATCTTAAAAAAAACACAAATCCATTTACCATTCAAAGAGTTATACCAAAAACCTTTAAGAATAAATGCAGGCAAGGATTCCTGATACTTCAACAAGTTTATAAACTAGGTGAGTTGGTGAAAGTTTCAAAATACACAAACCTGTCTTCGTGGCTCAAATCGGATGGTTAATGTATGTACAAGGAATGGATCCAATGGTGGATCATCTGGTTTCACAGGACGGAAAGATGAAAATGGCACTCTGACCTGTCAATCAAAGTAAAGAGGAAAATACATGATTTAATGGACAAGCCTCGCCAAAATTCATAAGAATTAGAAGAAGTGGTGCATACAATGGTAATAATAGAAAGCCCATAGCTTTCTAAGGATAGGAGATCATTACCCGACAAAATCCAACTTTTGTATTTATTCGGGTAAAATATAATTTGCTTTGAGTTGTATCTGCAGAAGGACCGGCTTCAAGAATTACAACATATGTTCTTCCGTTACCACCAAGAGAGAAGACAAGACCTTCATACCTGCACACCAAAGAATTCACTAAGATGCACTTTAAGGTGGAGTCTATGTATCTGTCAATAACATATCAAATAACATCCAGCTTCTGCTAAGAAAGAAGGTATATAGATAATGGAAGTATCATATACCTATCAAGAGTGCTACCTAAAGGAAGCGAAAGCATTTTGGAGAGCTCAACATATCCACCTCTGGTGAAAACATAGCCTACAGTTGAGAATAGTAATAATAATAATAAAAAGAATTAAAGATAGAATAATCAGTATTTGTCAAAGGTAATAGCCACACATGAAGGGTGTTAATATTAATTGCTTCAAGCTAGGCATACTGATATGAAACTGAAGTTGACCTGAGAAAACAGCTTGTCCAGTCTCAGTGAACTCAAATTTAGCATCCATTCCACCATCATACTTTGAAGCAATTACATCCTGGAAGTAAGTTCCTTGACGTACTTCCCATCCATCCAATGAATCTTCAGATTTGAACTTTGCAATCAGAAGCTTGCTTTTGCTGCTTTTCCCCGCCCTAAGTTGCGCCAGTTTATTATTGTGGTCCTGCAGATAATGTTAGATGCCAGTTCACCAAAGCTATATTTTAGGAATAAACATAGATTGTCCATGAAATAATCCACCAGAATTGCAAATTTTAACAGAATGCTAGCATAAAACATGGTAATGCGTATATACAGATAATGTTACAACAAGTTCACTCGTGAAATTCAATGTTGGACCAGCAGAGAATTAAAATTTAATGAAAATAAAAAAGGGCAATTTACTGCCTCTAGAGCAGTGATGATCAGTTTTGAGCATTATAAGGAATGGAACATCCAAAAACTCGCAAACAAAAAGCCTTAGAAGAATCCCTTGCACTCAAATATGCATCTAATATTAAAGAAGGACAAGAAAAGTGGGGAAGAAAACCTGAAGTGCTTTGGTAAGGTTTGAAACCCCTTGATGGTCAACTCTAAAGAGATCGCCAGTGATAGTGGACCGAGCAGTGGCACAGTAGATAATCTTGCTGCAACCTTCCACTGCAGCTTGAAGGGAGGAAGGGTCACCCACATCCCCAATCACTATCTCAACTGACCTAGGAAGCATGTCCAACACCTCTTGGTCTGCCTTCCTCACCAAAGCCTTCAATCACGGAAGTAAACAAAACACAGTAATCAAAATAAAGTTACAAAACTTAAAGAAACCCGAATACATAATCTATCACATTATAGTTTTCGACCTCTTTTAGGCATTGAAAATGCTTTTGCACTACCCAAAACGGTCAAATAGAGAAACAAACGTCAGTTAGCAGTCTGAAATTGATACATTTTACTTGGAAAACTAGTATTCGAAAACGAAAATAGAACATGTAGAAAAGAGAGATTAAAGGAAGGAAAAGATTAAAGGAAGGAAAGCGAAGAAAGTGGTAAAAGCAAAGGAACCTTGACAGTGTATCCTCTGAGCATGAGCTTGCGGACAACAATGCGTCCAATGCGGCTGGTGGCACCAACAACAAGGACAGTAGTGTTTTGAGCACCAGGAATTGCAAACTCACACATGGGTCCTTCTCTAATAAGCAAAGCATCCAAAGCTTCCCTTTCATCTGCACGACTTGTCCTTGATATCTGCCCCAACCCAGAAAACTTCCTCCAAACATCGTCAAATATCTGTCTGGATTTACGTCCCAACCCCACCGGGTTCACGTCGTCCAAACTCAATGAAACTTGCTGCTGCTGCTGCGGTGTCTGTTGCTCTTCTGACACAGACTCGGTTGTTGTAGTAACGGGAGTTGGAGAAGAAGACTTTTTAGCTTTGGTTTTCCTTTTGTTGCCTTTTCCATTGTCGGGAGAGGCAGCAGCGCGAGGGATAAAGAAGGTGGTACGTTGACAAGGTGGAGATTGCCATTTGATCCAGCCGTTAAGACTGTTGCCGAAACTGGTTGAAGGATTCATCGCAGTTGCAGCGCTCATTGCTGAATTTTACTTCAAAAAAAAAAAAAAAAAAAAGCTTTGAATTCTTATATTCGATAAATTTTATGTATTATTGCGGAGTGGATAATTATGAAAAGATGATATTTCTCTTAATTTCCTATAATCGAAAATGAACGAAAAAGAGCAGTGTGTGGTCGAGGCTTGAGCGATCAAAATCTAAGGAGTAAATCCAAGAAAACCAAGGGAATATATGAAAACCACATAACAATAAATATGTTAGAACCAATAAGCGCGCCACGTTGAGCCACTTGCTTCCTCTCATTTCTATCCGTGGATAGGAGAAGCTTCAAATTATGTGAAACGAGATGGATCACAAGTTAATTTGGGCTGAAACAAAAATATTTCAACTCGTTTATCCAGATTGATCATACCTGTAAATTGTTGGTCTCTCTCCATCACATTGAACAAAGTTTTTAAAATCTCTTAGGAAAGCCAACAGCATTAATAATTCGGTACAGATATTGAACTAATATAAACATAATTTCACAGAACTGATGCGGTTCTCCTTATTTTTCCATCTTCAAACATGAAGAAGCCGTTCTACAAAAAAGGGGTGTCAACGTTCCAAGGGGAAAACTTAGACAATACCAAAAAAATAAAATTGAAACTAAGCTCCCTCACTCCGACATTCCTATGTAAGAATAAATTTCTACAGATTAGCCACCAAAGGGATAACAATGAATACACAAAAACACAAAAACAATAACCTAATCAGGGCAATGGCACACATCTATACTCCAACATTCCTCCAAGGCAACTGTTGCAGGCTGATCGGATCTTATAAACCTTCATTTTAGGAGATCACGGGTTCTATGAATGAAAAAATTGTGCCCTACCAAGCCATCAATAATCAATTTGTATGCCTATACCCTTCTGACCTACAACAAATCCACTGGTTTTCCCCATCTGCGCCAAGTGAACCAGTGGAGCAGCACAAAAGCTATTTTCTACATGCCTCTTGGAGGGAGCATTTTCCATCAAAACCTCCAAATTTATATTTACAATTTGATTCTACCCAGAATTACCAGCAACCTCTGCAGCTCTCTGTCTCATCATCTCCATCACAGCAGCTCTTCGCCGTGAATCAGACTGCTGTTGAAGCCTTCTCAAATGTTCCTTAAGATCTCTGCATTAATATTTTTAAAAAAATAAAATGTTAGTTTTAGATTAAATCAATTAGCACAAACAGAGAAAGAAGAATAACATGTGGCAGCTCAGGAGGGCAAGAGGCACATGATACCTGCAACGTGGTACATTGCATTCAGATTCTTTGCATGCTCGAGCATGAAGTTGCAGTAGATACCACATTTTCTTACAAAGTACACAACCACCAGAGGCACGTCTTTTACATTGTATTCCACGGCGAAAAAGCCCCTTCACTTTCCGACAGTTTGGGTATTGGCAATGTGCAGAACGACATTGTGATGCATGCACCAAAAGATCAAGCATTTTCCTCAGCTGCAAATTTCAAGAACCAAACCTGTTAGAAGAATGCATCTAAAATATGCCACGTTATGGTCATAAACTCATTTTTCCAAGCATCTAGTTGCTAAATCAGGAGGAAAATAATATATTTGGCAAACATAAATAAAGTCGGAAAAACTTGTTCCGAATAAATCGTGTTTATTTCTGCCGAATACGGCTGACTTAAATAGAGTTTACAATGTAACAACTTTACATAAAAAGATGCATAAAATTAGCAACAGAATAAAACTAATTCTATCTAATTAAAACTGATCCTATCTAATAACTAACAGAATAAAAACTGATTCTATCTAATTAAAACTGATCCTATCTAATAACTAACAGTATAAAATATCTAGTTAACAATCCTAATTAATTTAGATATTCTCGACACCCCCCCCCCCTCAAGTTGGATAATAGATATCGATCATTCCCAGCTTGGACAAAAATCCTTCGAACATCGTAGTAAACAGTCCCTTGGTGAGAACATCGACGAGCTGCTCTGATGATGGAACAAACGGTATGCAGATATCGCCATTATCCAGCCTCTCCTTGATGAAATATCGATCTATTTCGACATGTTTAGTCTTGTCATGCTGTACAGGATTCTGAGCAATACTGATTGCCGATTTGTTGTCGCAATACAACTTCATCGGTTTATCTCCTTCAACCTTCAGCTCCTCCAAGATTCTCCTAAGCCATAACAGCTCACATACTCCTTGCGTCATGGCTCTGAACTCGCCCTCCGCACTGCTTCTAGAGACAACTGGTTGTTTCTTGCTCCTCCAAGTAACTAAGTTGCCCCAGACAAAGGAGCAATATCCGGTGGTAGATCTTCTGTCTGTAGAACTTCCACCCCAATCAGCATCAGTGAAGATCTCCACTCTTCGACTTCCATTCTTCGAAAACATGATTCCTTTACCCGGACTCCCTTTCAAGTAATGAAGAATCCGGTAAACAACCTTGGAGTGTTTTTCTGAGGGACAATGCATAAACTGACTAACCAAACTCACAGCAAATGCAATATCTGGTCTCGTATGAGCCAAATAAATCAGTTTCCCCACCAACTTCTGATACCGATTCTTGTCCACAGGCTCAGCACCATCTTCTTTTTCGAGTTTTTTATTCGGATCAATAGGAGTCGCCACTGGTTTACATATGAGTAATCCGGTCTCTTTCAAGATATCGAGGACATATTTCCTTTGCGAGATAATTATACCTTTTGAGGATCTAGCCACCTCCATTCCAAGGAAATATTTGAGTTGTCCTAGATCCTTGACTTCAAACTGGTTGGATAAGAAGTTCTTCAGCGACTCCAACTCTACTGTGTCATCTCCTGTCATAACAATGTCATCTACATACACAATTAAAATAGCAATTTTATCATTATTGTGTTTGTAGAACATAGTATGATCGGACTGGGCCTGAGTGTAACCATGTTGTTTCACAGCTCTCGTGAATCTCTCGAACCAGGCTCTCGGAGATTGTTTCAATCCATAAATGGATTTCTTTAGCTTGCAGACCCTGCCATCCTTCTTCAAGTCATCAAAGCCTGGAGGAACTTCCATAAACACCTCTTCCTCTAGCTCACCGTTTAGGAACGCATTCTTCACATCAAACTGTCTGAGAGTCCAATCCAGATTGGCGGCTAGTGAGAGTAAGATACGTACGGTGTTTAGTTTGGCTACAGGAGCGAAGGTTTCCTCGTAGTCAAGGCCGTATGTCTAAGTGAAGCCTCGTGCTACGAGTCTTGCTTTGTATCTCTTAACCGAGCCATCTGCATGGTATTTAATGGTGAACACCCACTTGCTGCCTACATATCATTTCCCCTCAGGTAAAGGAGTTAGATCCCACGTGTCATTCTTCTTCAGGGCCTTTAACTCCTCAAAAACGGCCTCTCTCCATCTCGGAACCTCTAGAGCTTCACGTATCGGCTTAGGTAGTTCATCATCCATAATCTTGGTGGAAAAAGCTTTGAAATCTGGAGAGAGTTTATGATAAGACACGAAATTGGATATTGGATGTTTTGTGGTACATGATCTGACACCTTTGCGCAAGGCTATGGGTTCAAAGAATTTTGTAGAAGGCTCTAAATTTGGAGAAGAAAGAGAAGTCGTACCTTGGACTATAGTCGAGTCCGATGGTTGGCATACCTTGGGGGCCGGTGGAACATTACTTGGTCGAGTCATCCTTCTAGAATAAACACGAAGTTCAGTAGGTGGTTCCAATTTGGTTTCTACCTGAGTCTCACGAGATTGTGAATTTATAAGTTGTGAAATCCTAGGATTAGTTACAGAAATATGAATTGGTTCCACTGAGCTATTTACAACCGTTTTTGGCAAGGATGTTTGTTCCCAAAAACTCATTTCAGAATCATTCTCCCCCGGAAGAGAGTTTGTCCAAAAAAAAGGTGGTTTTTCAAAAACCGTGACATCCATACTCACATAATACTTCCCAGATTTAGGATCAAAGCATTTATACCCTTTTTGTGTTGGTGAAAAACCTAGAAATATGCATTTATGTGCTCGGGGATCAAGTTTTCCTCTATTTTGGCTGTGTATATGAACAAAAGCAATGCAACCAAAAATTTTAGGTGTTAAATCAGTGAAAGATCTATTTTTAGGAAACATATTCTTTAGAGCTTGCAAAGGAGTGATATAATTAAGAATTCTTGTAGGCATTCGATTTATCAAATAAGACGCTGTTAAGAGTGCTTCATTCCAAAAACGATTAGGAACATTCATAGCAAACAGTAAAGCCCTAGCCACCACTAATAAATGCCTATTTTTTCTTTCAACAACTCCATTTTGTTGGGGAGTATCAACGCAAGAACTGTGATGAATAATTTCTTTTTGTTTCAAAAAATCACCTAAGATTGCATTAAAATATTCTCGGCCATTATATGTTCTTAGAACTTGAATATTTGCTTGAAACTGACCATTTTTGGCTCTTGATACCATAAAGTCGGAAAAACTTGTTCCGAATAAATCGTGTTTATTTATGCCGAATATAGCCGACTTAAATAGAGTTTACAATGTAACAACTTTACATAAAAAGATGCATAAAATTAGCAACAGAATAAAATTGATTCTATCTAATTAAAACTGATCCTATCTAATAACTAATAGAATAAAAACTGATTTTATCTAATTAAAACTGATCCTATCTAATAACTAACAAAATAAAATATCTAGTTAACAATCCTAATTAATTTAGATATTCTCGACAATAAATACTTTACATTAAGCATTTCAATAGTCAAGCACAAAAAGTTCAAGAAAGTCATGAGTGAGAAAGTTAGTGAGAGAGAGTGTGTGGAGCCGAGAGGCAATGGTTCTCCTGGCAGAGGTAGAACAGTGCCTGGTGGAGGATTGTGGGTAGCATTCATAGACAATCTTAGTAGAAGAGTGCATAGAAGTGTTTTATGGGATCGTTTTAGTCTTCATGGCAAGGTGGTTAAGGTGTTCATTCCTTTCGTTAATAGGAGACCTAACTATAAAGATAAAACGTTTACCTTTGTGCACTTTGCAAGCAAGGAGGATTTGCTTAATGCAATGAGTAAGATGAACAATGTCATGGTAGATGGGAGGAGAATAGTGGTTTCGACTGCAAAATATCAGAAGAGCAGGTTTCCAGGGAACCTTAAGTGCAATAGTGTAGCGGGGCCTGGAGATGCATGTGTGGAGGTTGCCAAAAGGAAAAGTCCAATATGTCAAGATGTTGATGTTGGGAAGGAGCTGTTGAACAAGTTTCGTGATGGCAGAACATATAAGGAGACGGTAGTGGGAGTAAGAAATGTTGAGGGTCAGCATGTAATCAGATCTGGAGATAAGAGGGAGGTGAAGAAGCCTTTGGAAGTCTTTATTCCTATGGAGGAAAGAATATGGTTGAGATCGTTTTTAACAGGTATTTGTAAAGCGATTTTTGAAGTTGAGTTTGTTCAGAGGGCTTTAAGGAGTGAGGGAATCAATGTCAAGGTGGTAAGGTGGGGCTATGCAAAAAATGCTTGTTTGATAGTCTTCCGGTCAGTGGAGGAGAAAGATGCAGCGGTGGAAATCAAGTGGGAGGCTTTGTCCTTTTGGTTTGAAAGGCTGGAGCCTGTTATGGAAGAGAAGTGTGTCCCATTACCTTATTGTGCAGTTTCCATGATAGGTGTACCGTTAAATTGCTGGACAGGTTCTTTCTTTACAAGTTTGGCATCGAGATGAGGTAAATTAGTGAAGATCCAGGAGCATACAACTCAAAAACTGGATTGCATGGTTGCTCATATGTTGTTAAGGGTTGAGAGCCCGTTTGATATCCCGTCCCAGGTCACCATTAACACTTATGGAAGGCCTTTTATTATTAAGATTAAAGTGGAAGGCAGTGAGGATTTCTTTCCTGTGATAGAAGGAGTGGATGAAGAGGGTTCTGCGGAGGGAACAATTGATCCATGGGAGGAGACCTCTCGAAAGGGAATCAAGGGGATGACCGGGAGGGTCTGCAGGAGCAGTTGAATTTCAAAATGTTGACAGACACTCAGAACAGTGTTGAAGCATGGGTTAGGAAAGCTACAAATGGAGGTGTCACGCTTACCGATGGTAATTTGAATGAAAAGGTAGAAGTCAATAATATCCTAGGAGATGACTTTTGTTCTGAGGGGACAGTACTAGGTGAGGTTCATAGTCAACAGCAAGTGTCAAGGGTTTTTCCTGCAAGAATGAAAAGGGTGCAAAGCTTGGGAGATGTTACCTCGGGACAAGATAAAGTGGTCAAAGACGATGGGCTTTCCAGCATAGGGAGGAGAAAAGTGTTTGGGCCTGAGCAGAGAAGTCCAAGACCAAATCGAAATGGGGTTAAGTCTGCAGATTTTACAAATGGTATACAAGATGATTCTGGTATGCAGAATGGGTCTGTTTCATTGGCCCAGAGGTGCCCTATTGGGAGGAGTGCTTCAGTTAGTAAAGCTGAAAGAGGTTTTTATAAGAATGTGTATGCTAGGAGGTGGGAAATTAAAAGTTGCAGTGGTAAGGGGTCGGATTATGTTTCAGATAAGAATAACCAGGGGAGGACATAAGCTTTGGAATGTTGGAATGTCTCTAAATTGTTGGGGGTTAAATTTAAAGGAGGGGAGATAGATTTCTTGACTAAAGTAGGTCCTATGGTAAAGGAGAGAGATGATTGATGGTTGGTAGTAGGAACAGGGATTTACGGTTATGGTATGACTTTGATGGTAGAGTGGTTCATAATGTGTTGGAATGTTAGGGGTTTGGGTAGAAGGGTGAAAGCTCGAGCAATTAGGAGGTTTGTTGAGGAGAAAAAGCCTACAATTTTATTTTTACAAGAATCTAAACTGGAAGTTGTAAGTCCTTTGTTAGTAAGGAAAATGGGGGGTAAAATACTCACTGGTGCAGCAGTAGTTCCTGCTGTGGGTTCTGCTGGTGGTTTAATTACTTTGTGGAATCAAAAGGATTTTGTGCTGAAGGAAGAAGTCATCCACAACAGATTTGTGGCATTAAAAGGGTTAATGGAAGGAGATCCAGGAATTTGTTGTTTTAAATGTCTATGGTTCGAGTGTTGATGTAGACAAGGAGCAGTTTTTTAGGGAGTTATCATCCTTTCTGGAACAGCTTGATTGCCCAGTGTGTTTAGGAGGAGATTTCAATGCAGTATTGACTCAGGAAGAGAAAGATGGAGGAGCAGTGAATCCGGTATCTATGAACAGCTTCAGAGATTTTGTTAGTCAGGCGAATTTGATTGATTTGCCGTTATTTGGAGGTCGTTTTACGTGGTGTAACAATAGGGAAGTTCCAACTTTTGAGAGGTTGGATCGGTTTTTGGTTGATCATTCATATTTTTAGGCTTTTCCAAAATTAAGCCAAACCTTGCTTCCAAGGTCCGTCTCTGATCACAATATCATTTTGTTGGAGAATAAGGAACGTAATTGGGGGCCGAAACCGTTTCGGTTGTTTAATTATGTGTTGGAGGAAGAGGGGTTTAATGAGATGATGAAAACAAAGTTGTTTAAATACTGCAAAGGGGAGAACCCGATGTCCATATCCAAAGTTCTTAATCGGGTGAAGGATGTGGCAAAGAGGTGGTCGAGGAGGGATTATCTTCAGCTGCCATGAAAAATCAGAACGTTGGAGAGAGGAATTCATGATATGGAAATGGACTTGCAAAAAGGACTTCCCATGGTGTCTATGCAATCTATTGTCGAAGCAAAGAGAGAATTATGAGAGCTACAAAAAAAAGAAGAATCGATTTGGATGCAAAAGTCTAGAATAAAGTGGAGATTGGAGGGAGATAAGAACACTAGTTTTTTCCATCATAGTGCGGCAGTAAGAGGGAGAATAAATTGTATCAAATCTCTTAAAGTTGACAATGTAGTCACGGTAGATCCCCGTGTTATCAAAGCTTCTGTGGTGAAGTTCTTCAAGGGGTTGTTTAATCAAAGGAATACTTTGAAGGTTGAGGATTTAAATCTGGATTTTCATAGACTATCGGAAGGGCAGTGTCTAGCATTGGAGAAGCCATTTTCGGAAGAGGAAGTATGGGATGTTATCGTTCATTCGGATAGTAATAAAGCTCCAGGACTGGACGGTCTAAATTTAGGCTTCTTCAAGAAATTTTGGACCATTATGAAGGACGATGTGATGTTGTTTTTTAAAGAGTTCTATGTGGGGAAGGAGTGGGACTCGGAGGTAAATCATTCCTTTATTTCTCTCATTCCTAAGAAGGCCAATCCGGAGGGGTTGCAAGATTTTAGGCCAATTAGTCTAGTCGGAGGGCTATATAAAATTTTATCAAAGGTTTTAGCTAGAAGATTGAGTTTGTGCATTAACGATATAATGAGTCCGTCTCAATTTGCTTTCATTCCGGGAAGGAACATATTGGATTGCTCGTTTATTGCAAATGAATGCATTAACTTTTGTAGGAAGAAAGGGTTGAAGGGAGCAGTCTTCAAAGTGGATTTCAAGAGAGCCTATGATTCGGTTGATTGGGATATTTTGATGAAAATTATGAGCAAAATGGGGTTTGGTGACAAGTGGAGGTCATGGATGTATCAATGTATGTCTTCAGCATCCATTTCGGTTCTAGTAAACGGGTCAGCTACAGAGAAATTTCACACAGCGAGGGGATTGAGACAGGGTTGTTCATTATCGCCTTTGCTGTTCAATATGGCCGGTGAGCTACTACATTTGTTGCTTACTAAAGCAGTTGACATAGGACTGTTTTCAGGTTTCGATGTAGGTGTTCATGATAGGGCATTTAAGCTTTCGCATTTGCAATTTGCGGATGACCTTATAATTTTCAGTAAAGGCTCTATTCGTGATTTGAGGAATGTTAGAAGAGTGTTATTAATATATGAGTTACTGGTGGGGTTGAAGATTAATCAAGTTAAGGGCAGAATTTATGGTATCAATGTTGAGGATGGGGTGTTAGCTACTTGGGCGAATGATATTGGTTGTTCGGTAGGAAGTTTCCCATCAGAGTATCTAGGTTTACCCTTGGGCTATAAGAGAAATTCGGCTGTCATGTGGGAGCCAATAGTGGAGAGATTTCATGCTAAGTTGAGCGGTTGGATGTCTAATTCCCTGTCGCTTGCAGGAAGGGTGGTGTTGGTTAAGTCAGTGTTGTGCTCGCTCCCTGTGTATTTTCTTTCCATTTTCAAGATTCCAGTTTCTGTGCTAAAGAAACTAAATTCTATCATGGCTTCATTTTTGTGGGGGGTGCAGCGGATAAAAAAAATATCCACTGGTTAAATTGGAGTTCGGTTACTAAACCAAAAAGATTGGGGGGTCTAGGGGTCCCAAATTTATTACTCTTGAACAGAGCATTATTGGGGAAGTGGGTTTGGAAGTTTGCATCAGAGAAAGAGTCTTGGTGGAAGAGGGTGGTATGTGGTGTTTATGAGATGGATCCGAAATGCATAATGATGGGGAATTCGTGGCCAGGCCGTGCATCATGGATTTGGAGAGGTGTGGTTAAAAATTTCTTTTCCGATGATGGTTTTGGGGATTGCATTAGGAGGAATATGCGTTTGAAGACAGGGAAGGGGAATTATGTGCAGTTCTGGAACGATGTATGGTTGGGTGAAGTACCTTTGAAAATACAGTTTCCTAGACTCTATGTTCTTTCGAGGAATAAATCGGGTAAGGTGATGGAGTTCAGGGTGAATAATGGCGCTGGTTGGGTGTGGGACATTCAAATGAGGCGAAATTTGGCAGATTGGGAGGTTGAACAACTGTTGCACTTGATTTCTATGTTGAACAATATCTCAATATCGCCATGTGAGGAAGACTGTTGGATTTGGTCAGGGAATGGTGAGGGCTGTTTTTCAGCTAAATCTTGTATCAACATTTTCCTTGATCAAGATGGTATTCAGCAGAAGATGGAGACCTGGGAGAGACATATTTGGGCAGGGATTTCTCCTCCACGGGTGGAGACATTTGTCTGGCAAGTTGCTCACCAGAGAGTGGCAGTGGAGGAATTACTGAAGCGAGGTGTGGTAGGGATTGATGATCCTTTATGCTCTTTGTGTGGTAGGGAAATGGAATCAATTTCGCATCTTTTTTTGCATTGCGAGGTAGTATGGGGTCTGTGGGCCAGATTATTGAATATTTGGAATTTGTCCTTTGTGATTCCAAAGAATATCATGGACTTTTTCAATTTGTGGGATGATTTACTTCCGAATTCTTTGATATGGAAATTTATTCCAAGGGCGTTGATGTGGTCAGTGTGGAAATGCAGAAACGAGGTTATTTTTCAAATAGTTAAGCTGGATGTGGTGAGACTGTTCTTTATTGTCCGTTTTAGAATAGCTTCCTGGTTTGTTGCAAAGTTCAAGGATGTGAATATACCTTTAGACTCTCTTGTGGGAGATTTAAAACTTGCGGATTTGGTGGGTAGACAAGGAAATGGCAACTCAACCAATTTGCTGGGTTCCTCCTCCGGATGGGTTCTTAAAGCTAAATGTTGATGGAGCGATGGTTAAGGGTTGGGATAAGGGAGGTATTGGTGGTTTGATTCGGGACAGTAAAGGTGTGTTGCTTCAATGGTTTTCAGAAAGAGTTGGGGGTGGTCCTCCTATCTTGGCAGAATTATTGGCGATTAAGAGGGGGTTATGTCTTCTGGAAGATTTAAGTTTTGTTGCTAATCGGAGGTTTATTCTTGAATCACATTCAAGCACTGCCCTAAAGTGGATCAAGAATCCGGATTTATGCACTCCTATGTTTCAAGTATTGGTGAAGGAGATAGTCTCTCTTATGGTAGGGAAGGATATCATTATCAAGCATATTTTGAGGGCTGCAAATTGGGAAGCTGACAAATTAGCTAAGGATGGGATAGGGTGATGTAATGGTTTCTGCTTGCTTGTATTGAGGAGTAGAAAATTTTATTTCCTATGTTTAGCTGTTGTGTTTAAGTTTTATGTAATTTCTGGTGGTGTTTGCAGATGTTTAGGGTCTGCCTTTGTTGTTCTATGGTTTCATCTAATAAATTCTAGGCACTCTTTTCCTCCTTTCCTTGTCCTTCATGTTACTTTTATAACATGGAGGTTGAAAAGGGGGGTTTTTAATGAGACCTAATCTTCTATCAAAAAAAAATAGTCAAGCACAAAGTGCCAATAGCATCTCTGAAACATCCACTTAGACAGTTCTTTAGTCACACGTTCCTATGTTATAAAGCCACTTTCAGATGAACACCACTGGTGGTTTTTGATTTAATGTTTATATATCTAAATATATACACTTTGAGCAGCAAGAAAGAGAAAGATAGATGCATATATGTTTAGATGGGGTTTCCCGATTAACCACACTCAACTGATCAAAGAGTTATTTCTCAAAAAAAAAAAAAACTAATCAGAGAGTCCATATTTTTATTATAAAAGGGTTCAACAAATTTATTAACAACTTACCTGAAGAACCCGTAGTTGCCTGGCCTCCTTATTCTGTGCATCGCGTTCAGCCATGGATGGATGATTTGTTAACTTATGAGGATGATTAATGCCCCCATCTTTGTGATAACAGGAGTTGCACACATCATAATCAGGACAAACTTCACAGCGCCAGCCTTGACCAGTTTCAATGTCCAGATGACATACGTTACAGGTTGTGACAAATGCAGGGGCAGTGGGATTGTGTAGATGGTAAAGAACCATCATTGAGGAATGTTTAGCCCGCCTTAGGGTATCATACTGATAATGATTCCCTTGACAAAGACTCAAAAATGCTTGCCTAGTATCAAAGAATTCACTCTCAAGAATATCATCTTTATCCTTTGTATCAGTAGGTACATCAGTAATTTCAACCTGCACCAAAACAATTTTCCGCAAAATTCTATTAGGAAAGAAAAGAAAGTTTGCATACAGATGCAGCATTGGGCATGAATACTGGAAGTAAATTACTATCATAATCTCACAAACTTACTGGATAGAGAGCATGTTTCTCCCTCTGGTTGATGGGATGCCTCTCTCTTTCATCACGCCTCTGCTCTGTTTCAAAGCACCTGTAAGGGATAAAGAAGCAAACATCAGATCCATTTATCTAGGACATTTTCTCATGGTAGACAGAAGCAGACTGAAATAAGAATAGAAATATGCATTGCATCCTTAGGCTCATAGTCACATGGATAGTGGTACGCTCCGGTACGGGAACGTGGAACGGGATCGCAATTCGCTAGGTCCCTAAAATTCGGTACGAGGGGGGTAGACTTATTTCGGATCGCTCCGGTACGATGTACCATATAAATTGGTACGATGTACCAGTTTCTTAGATAGAGATCAATTATAGAAGAAATTTAGAAATGCATGTTTTGTTTGCCTTATTTTATTTTATTTAGATTTGAGGTTTATCAACTGAACTGCTCAATTTTGTTTGTAGTTAGGAACTGGACTGAGCATTCTTATCTCAAAAAGTAAAAGGATTAATCTCTAAATTTGAGTAGAATAGAGGATCTAAACTCAAAATTAGACCAAAACTAAATGAAATATATTTTATATAAAAACCAGGCTCTTTCCACTTCCATTTTCAATTTTACATCTCTTATTTTACCGTCTCTCTCTTTCTCTAAATCCCTTCATTTATCCTTTCTGGTTTCTTCTCTCCATAATCGAAGATGCGTGAGATCTTTCACACTCAAGGTGGCCAGTGCGACAACCAAATCGGAGCCAAGTTTTGGGAGGTTGTTTGTGCCGAGCACGGTATAGATCCAACCGGTCGTTACCAAGGAGACCAAGATCTTCAACTCGAGAGAATCAATGTCTACTACAACGATGATGGGCTCTTCCAGCTCTGGTGAGGCCACGATGACAACACCTAAGTAAAGGCTCTTCAACTCACTGTTTTTTTTCTGGTTTCCCCGAATGGTTTCCGCTCTCCCTCTTCTTCTCCTCTGATTTTCTCTCTCAAACCCCCAATCCCTTTATTTTTCTGATTGCATCTCCTCTTATCCCTGCTGCAAAACTACGATCGCGATTTTGAAACGATACGAACGCGTTCGTACTGCATTTTGGATCGCAACGTTCAGTACGTAGATCGTGGGCTATTGAGCGATTTATGTAACTATGATTAGGCTTTTAATATTAGGGACTAGAGTCTTGAAACTTGAAATATAACCAGTTTCTAAGAGCACAAGGATCATTTTCCTTTTCCCCAAAATGTGGAGAACAAACCCACTCTAAAACATCTCGTCCGGGAAAAAAGACAGTCAGGTAATAGAAACTACCTACCAGGTAGAAAATTTTATACCATCTACATGTCAATGTTATGAATACTCTTCTGCCAAAAACATCAGCCCCCACCAGAGGTTAATTCAACAATAAATTCCTAGTAATAACTTAACAAGAGAGCCCATCTTTCAACATGAGCAACCAACAGTGACTTCTTTCAACACTAAAATAGTGGCACCATGGCACCAAGAATTGAAAGCTTTACATGCTTTCTAATGCTTATGAACCGAGCAATGTAATTCATGATTATATCTAGAATGTAAAGCCAAATTCTGAGTCTAAATAATGCCAAGAGCTATATATCTATCTAGCATACAAATGGAATTAGTAATAATATATGATCTGCATATAACTGGGTTGGGCTTATAACTGAGAATCAGATATGACACATTTTTAGAATGCAGAAAAGATTGAACCCTAGCATAGATTCAAACTTGCAAAATAAAAAATAGAAACACTATAACAGAGACGTTTAACCATGTTAATAAAAGAGAGCATACTCCTTCCTCATACATAAATCTGATTGAAAAATGAGTTGTTCGTGCTACAGAAGCATATACTATTCATCAAAACTAACTGATAAAATCATTGCCTGCTAGAGTATTATATAAATATAATTCTACGGTCAACACACAGACAGACAAGTCAACCATACAAGATTATAATACACAGCTAATAAAGTAACAGCCATACCTATCACAGATCTGAAAGTTCTTGCACTGATTGCAGACCCAGCGGTTTCCGGCTACCATAAGAACACAGCAATGAGTGCAACAATGCTGCAAATGAACCATGATAAAATCCTCCTTCATTGGAGAAATGGTCTCACCAAGCTGAAGTGGAGAAAATTAAGGGGAAAAGTAACATAACCAGTTAGAATCTCTTGGGTCATGATATGAAAAATGTCAATAGTAAGATAGCAAGATTGTAACTTCCACATCTACTGGCCTAGTGCTTTACATAAAAAAAATAAAGAAAAACAGAAACATTTGAAAGAAAAGAAATTACTTTGTGCATCAGTAACAGATCCTTTGATGCATTAGAAGAGAAGTCAGACTGACCAGATGCTTTCAAAGCCCTTTTAGTTATGGTCTTTTTTATTGTTCCTTTTTTATTCATCTTTCTGCCATCTTCTTGACAAAGTTGATTTATAAGATCTTCAGCAGCCCCAGGCCAGTAATCACCATCAAAATATGGAAGCCTAGCTGCTGTTACCTTTGCCTTACGTTCACTCACAATTACAAAGAAATGATCATATAAATTAGTAAGATCAACTACAATGTTTTCCTTGGAAGCTTTCCTTAACATTGCTAAATACCTGAAACAGCATCACACATACCAGGGCATTAGTAATAATGAATTCATAAAATAAATATAACATGTGATGCAAATTGTTTAAAAAATATATCTCAACAATTTGCCTCACCATTCTCTCAGTTTATCTGATTTTGGTGTTTTCTGAATTTCTGGATGACAATATATGATATAATCTTCACCCTTCAGTGGAGGGCAGGCCCATATATAGCAACTTGTAAAACCACGTTTCTTGCAATATTCAAGGTATCCGATCTGAAAAATTAAGGTTTGGATCCAATATTTTCGACAATGATCTCCACTAAATAGATATTGATACAATGTGTAAAATGAAAATTGTGACAACAATTATCAGTAAGCTTCCAGTAACCTCAGGCCGGAAATACTTGACTGAGTCTAGATATGAAAGATAAACACGGCGCTGATTTGGAAATGCACATTCTGACCCAAATTCTTGAACATACATGCCAAACAAGCATACTTCTACCCCTTCTATCTTCTGAAACAATAAAACTACCTAAAAGAGAAAAACATAACTCATAAGCATTTGATAATTACAACTGAACAGCCATTTTCAGCATACAAGCACATTACACAATCTATCCAAAAATGAAAAAAAAAGGTTCTATAACTAGTTAATCTAAATCTCGCATACCTTTGATTTATATGGAAATTCTAGTGGATAATTGTCTTCTTGAAAGATTTCAAGAAATCGTGGCTTTACGTCCAGCTTTTTGTCAACCGATGAAACAACTCTAACTACAAGTGCCTCAGCACCAGGAACCTGTAAACAATCATTGAAAAAAGATATAAGCTTATTTCCTCGGGCACTAAAAGTCTATGAGAAGTCACCGGAATGTACTTTTAAACACCAGAAATTAAATCAACAATAATAACAATAACAAATCCCATATATAGAAGAAAGTTAATGGGTCTATGTTGAAGGAATCAGTAAGTTTAAATTCTCCCCTATAGATGAAAAACTTTGTGGCTATCTGACCTATAACTGGCTATATATGGCAAAAGCTGGAAAGATCCAATACCCAGTTTTCAAAATTCACCTAATCATGCAAAAAAAACTCCATGCCAAAAGCTCAATCACCAACAAAAAATATGATTCAACTTATATCGCTTCTACAGCTTTTGTTTCTTCAGCATGTAATTACAATCAAGCACTTGTTTGATCATGGCCATCTTTCTTGTGTACTAGTTTTTTCCCCATTTTTGTATTTATGTGAATTTCAGCAACACGGAACATCTTTCAACTACATGCATATACAACACATACTCAACAGTTAGAATATTAATCACCTCATCGTAACTTTTTCCTTGAACCTTTGCCCTCTCTTTTCTTTCCTGTTTCAGTCGCTTAAATAATCGCTGCTCTATGTGGTCGCTGAGGATTGTTCTTGGCAAATCTTTGGCCCCCAGAACAGCACTCTGTGGTAAAGGCTCCCGCTCTCCTCTTTCAACCTCAGCAATATAGCAGTTGGGACACGTATATTCAGCTTGCCCGCCATCATTCCTTCTACCATTAAATAGAGCACAAATTTGATGTTGCCAAGCCTCACACTTGTCACATTGAACCCACTGCAAAATTTTATTGAAAACAAAATATAAGAGTGATTGCTAGGGATGACCTTGAAACGTAATAATAACCAAAAAGTATTGGATTGTTACTATGTACATACCCATTCTTCGGTCTCTTCATCATTTTTCTTCTTCTCAAGCCTTGCCTTAGGAATGGCAGTTCCATCAACCACAATGCTATCTCCAAGTGCATCATTATGGCAAGGAATACAAAAGAAATGTCGTGTATCAGTGGCACCCACTGTGTAATATGCTGCATTTCGCTTAATGCGACCACCACAATGACTACAATAAATAGGCGGTGGTTCAAAAGTGAGTCTTTCAACTGCACATAACTGACAGGAGTTTTCACTCATTGAGTGCTCCATTGCTTGATGTTTTTCAGCCTTTGCCTTATTCTGTAAAAGAAATTAAAGAAAATTGACCATCATCAATATACCATGTTCAGTCACCAAGTCCAAATCTGGTCTAACAAGTAGTAAGCTAAAATATGCGTTCACCTCCTAGTTCCTACAGCTTATCAATGATCTAAATAACGCTATGATCAGTGTCTGAAACAAATCACATCATTACAATATAGTATACCTGGCCAACCCATTGTCTGAGACCTCTAATATGCTCCCGAACTTGCTCGGGGGTGAAAAGTTCAGTCAGTGACACCCCCTTTATATTTGGTTTCCCAGACTTGATTTCAGCTGCACCTTCGGAAGACTGTTTAACATTTTCTAGTTTAACTGAGCCAGGTTCCTTCTCAATCTTAGCATTTTCTTGCTTATGAAGACCACCAAATTCATCACATGTAGTGGGCTCACAGTCAGTCTTCTTCTTGCTAATGTCTTCTAAAACAACATTCATCTCGGTAATAACAGGACCACCTTCAGCAGAAATCTTGGGGACTTCAGTCTTCACTTCCATAGGCTCAGATTTAACTAGCATTCGCCTGTCAACATGTATGTGATCTTGGCGATGGATATCCTGAGATCTGTGAGTTTCAGCAACAGAACTTGATACTAAAGGACCTTCACTTTTAGTAATAACAGATTGTGAAGATTGCTCTCTCTTCATGCGTTTTAGTGAAGGCTGTATGTCTACAGAAGTATCGATTGCTGCAGATGTAGTAGTCAATCTACTTGAAATGTCTCCAGCATTATATGTTTTAGTAGATATACCATCCGAAGAAGGCAAAGCGTAAGTAGAGTTAAGAGAGGCACGTGCCTTCTGAGCCTGTACATAATTGTTAACAGGAACACAAACAGGGCATGCTGGATATCTACAAGTCTTGTGATGACGAATCAGTATCTTGGAGTGATGACAACGAGGGTATGAACATGGAGAGGATGCACACATATCCATATGAGACAACAACTTTCGTACAGTAAAGCAATAGCCATCACACTTACCCTCAGAGGCATTACATCTACGAGCATGGCGAAGTAACAAAAGCCACCTCACTTGATTTCGGAATTGCCTATCATGACTCCCATTTCCAAATTTAGAGATAGCACCCTTTGAACTTGAAAGATCTGATGAGCTTTTAGGAACAACCAATGGACTGATAGTAGATGCATCCACAGATAAATTGTCACATTGAGCTTCATCCTGCCTCAATATCCTCTGCTGGAAATCCTCTTGGACATGCTGCTCAAATGAAATGTTCACTGGCATTTGAACCTGCTCTTGTGAGTGACGATGCCATTGGGTCTGCACAGCTGATTCTGACGGTGCACCAACTGAATGTTTATAATCATTTTGAGATTCTGGAACCAATTGCTGTTGGTGCAACATCTGTTGCATTTGTTGAGAATTTTGTGGTAGCGATGAATGCATATTCTGCAGACTAGAGATCTCTCCAGCATGGTTCCCCTGGAATTGACTCTGCAATTCAGGTAGCTGATATTGTTGAGGGGCTTGTTGATGTAGAACCTCATCGTGGTGTTCCACTCCAGGTTCATGCTTCACTTGACTACTTGTATCAGATGCCATCTGGGACTGACTACAACCACTATTACTCGGCAAATTTTGACGCTGCAGATTTTGCTGATGGCGGGGTTGCTGTTGCTGAAACTGTTGTTGGAACTGAAGGGGCTGCTGCTGAAACTGTTGCAGCTGATTAGCTTGAAGGATATTGTCTCTCGAAGAAACTGGAGGTTGTAAATTCATATTTTCAAACTGATCCATGGACTGGGGCTTCATATGGGCAGCCAATTGAACACCATGTAAATTCGATGGATTACTTATCAGAGAAGAATTTGTTCTGGACATAGACTGCAAATTAACAGGATCTGAATTCTGAGAGTTTGTCATAGTTCCAACAGATGTTGTAGAGCCATAGGAGTTTCCAGACCCAAAAGAATCAGTATTGTTCATTCCATATCCATCAGCTGACACACACCAAAAATAATATTAGCTTTCTTTGAGAAACACATATGTTTCAATAATAAAATAAATTGCATTTTCAGATTCATTGTTACTAAATCAAAAAGAAATAGACAGAAAAAAGGTTCATGAGATCACCTTGCATCAGGGTTCGCTGATGTTGATCGAAGTGTTGCTGCAATTGAGTCTTTGGCTGTGCACATTTCTACTACCCCTAATTAGAATCTGTAAACGTTGCTCTAAAGTACTCAAATTTGTATAGTCCTCCTAGAAAACAAAGTTCAAGTGTTAAAACTCAAGGGTGGGGGTTAAGAAAGTTGTAGAATGTAGAAATAAATGTGAACAGACGAATGCAAATTGATGTGCTTCTACAGTATGGAAGAAACCAAGAAATAAAAAATGTATATATATGGATTATTTTTTTTTATAGGAATAGGAGGTCTCATTAAAAACCTCCCTCATAGTTGCCTCTTAAGAAGAGGCAATTAGCGGAAGGAGGAAAAGAGTACCTCAATATATTAATAACCCAAAATTACATAATTACATAAGACTTTAATTACAACATCACCCGAAACTAAACCTAACCATAAAAACACTAAAAGAACGTTCAACCAATCCCCTCCTTAGCTAACTTATCAGCCTCCCAATTACAAGCCCTATGGACCAGTCTAACCAAAATGTCGCCGAAATTAAATCCCCTATTTCCCCAACCAAAGAACAACAAAACGATGGGGCATCAAAAGGCCTCAAAATCCAATCCACTGCTGTTTTACAATCTCTCTAGAATAAGTCTACCCGTCAACACCCAACCCGAATTAAGAAACAAATCCATGCCTTCCTTAATAGCTTTCAACTCAACAAGCAAAGGAGGACCTGATCCCACAGCCTTAGAAAAAGAAATCAAGATAGAGTTATTCGAATCTTTCAGTACACCTCCAATACCACCCTGCAAGCCATCGCCTTTAACCACCCCATCCACATTGAATTTATAAAAATCAGGTGGAGGTGGAAGCCAGCACTGATCGTTCTTCCTCTTGCGAGATATAACTGCTAGTCTATCTACAAGCCGAGGGTCCCCTACTAATAAATCAACCTGGATATTAGCCTTAGGAAATTTGGCTAAAAACCATTTTGTCAGCCTGAATCTACATATGAAGAACAGTGTAGAGCTCTCAAAACTCCAGTTTTCAAAAACCACTAAATTCCTAGCCTTCCATAATAACCACAAAACCAACACCCGAGATAAATTTTCAAATAGAAGAAGAATCCTTTAACACAGACCAGTAACAGAGTAAAGACATAGGATCTTTGGGCAAAACAGTAGACGCATCCCATATCATGATGAACCTATTCCATAACTCCCAGGCAACAGGACATCGAATGAATAGATGTTGAATTGTTTCTTCCTCCTTTTTGCATAAAGGACATAATAAATCTTCCATAATAACACATCTTTTCTGCAACTCCACTCGAACAGCTAATTTTTGATGAGATAGTTGCCATAAAAATGTTTCTACTTTCGGAGGAGCCAATCCCGTCCAAACCCATTTGTTCCACTGAAAAATCCCACCAGAACTATGTGCAAGTGCTGATCTGCACGCCTTCACTGAGAACAAACCATCTCCACTCCCAGACCAAGATAGAAAATCATCAACTGAATCAATCAAAACAATATTATCAATCAAAGTCATTAGCGAAATCCATTGCTCCAATTCCCAGTCGCATAAATTCCTCCTTAATCGGATATTCCAAACCCAACAATTGTTTTCATGACAGCCAAAGTCCGCAACTAATCCCCTTTTATTAATCGATAAGGCATAAATCCTAGGGAATTGTTCTTTTAAAGTAAAATTATTCACCCAAACATCATTCCAGAATTCAATTGATCTACCATTCCCCACTTGAATCCTTGAGTTTGACCTCAAACAATTTCCGATATCATCCTTCTTCTCATAATTATTCCAAATTCCTCTCCATATCCATGAATCATGAGGATTTGCAGCCTTATTAATTGATAGAGATAAGTTACTAATATGTGCTTGCAACAGATCATCTTCTTCCACTGTGACTCTTTCTCATTCGCAAACTTCCAAACCCACTTCCCAAGTAGCACTCTATTGGTCAAAGACAAGTCCAAAACACCCAAGCCACCCTCCTCATGCGGTTAACACACCATTTTCCAATTTACCCAATGAATCCGTTTCTTCATAGGACCATCCCCCAAAGAAATTTAGCCATCAAAGAATTCAACTTCTGATTTATCTTTGAGGGAATTTTGAAAATCGAAAGATAAAAAATTCCACAAGCAGAGGTAGAACATTGACAATTGACCCATTTGTTTACTTTTTAGATTTTTAAATATACCTAAAATGACAAGTTTCATCATTCTAACCCTCCTTGTAGAAGGGTTTTTTTCCCACTAGCAGTGTACCAAATAATAGTTCATCACACACACAAGTGGAATGGCTGAAAACATCAGTCAAGAAACAGATTTACTTAAAACATAGTAATTTGAAGGGGGAAATTAACCTTTGTACGAGCAATCTTAAATAAACCTTCTTCCAAACGTCTTGCAAAATCCTGAAACTTGATCATTGATGCCTCAGTAATGGGATGTTGTTGACGTGATTTTAAAAACTTAATGCTGGCAAACAAGAGATCATGACTTGCATTAGTTTACCAAAACGAACACTACAAATGAATATAATGGAAATGCCTATCTTGATATATAGATTGATCAGACATAGAAGCCAAACATCAATAATGGTTATGTTATATTAATGACAAGAAAATGATATACCATTGCGTAAGATTTAATTATTCACATGGATCAATGTACATTACAAAAGATGGGATCATAACATACATATTCTCCCACCTAACTGAAGCCTTAAGAAGAATTGAAAAACAAGGTTTCTTTTCACCTCTGTTATTTTCTTTGAGTACATATTCCTACATGTCTGCATGCGTGCAAGTGTGTATAGAGAGAGTGAGAGAGCTATACAACTTCAAATCGAACTAGTAGGGTTCCGTGTTGAGCTAGACAGTAACACCTTAAGTTTGTTGAAACAACTAATGAATGTTGCACACATCAATGTATAACCCAGAAAAAATCAAACATTATCTACAAGCTCAAAAAATTCTACATAAACAAATAGACAACTATTTCAAAGAAAAGATCTTTTCATACTTTCTTCACACGAGAAGCCTCCCTATGAGTTTAAATAAAATACGACATCTAAATCCTACACAAACAAATAGACAACTATTTCAAAGGAAATATCTTTTCAGTCTTTCTTCACACGAGAAGCCTCCCTATGAGTTTCGGTAAATTATGGCATCTAAATCCTACACAAACAAATAGACAATAATTTCAAAGAAAACATCTTTTGTATGCCAACTTTTATGCATATTTAGTAGCAGCTGTAGAAAAACAAATTCAAACAAATATCCCAACCTAAGGGTGTAATTTACACTGGTATAGAACTAACCAAAAAAAGCCACCATCTATAAAAGAAGAATACTAATAACATGCAACCGAGAATCCAGCAGCAAATGCACACCGCAAACATGTACATGCACAAGGGCAAAAGGAAAGCGATGAAACGCGTATATTATAATTATCGATACTAAACAGCACTCAGACAGCACTAGTTCAAAGCCTAAGGCATAATTTATTTGAAATTTCTCCAAAATGAACCGGCTAGCAGATACAAGCAGTTAATATAACAAAGAAAACAGAACTATTGTTATACAAGATCTTACATTTCTCCCCGCATATAATCACGTGTTCTCATGAGATCAGGATCCATATTCGTCATATTATGAGGATCCCCAGTGCCAAGAACACCACCAGCACTCGCACCTCCAGCAACCCCTAAATTCTGCATCTGGGACGGCTGGAGCATACTCCCATTTTGCTGGGGTAATCCACCTTGATTAGGTACCTGTCCTGACATATGTGCCTGCACATTCATTTCTATATATATTCCTTGTTCGTTTTCACCTTGTCTTAGTAACTACCACTACTAGAAAAAACCACATAACTTATTCCACAATCTCAGTGTAAAATCGCACCAGTGACCACCACTCATGCTTCCTTCGTTTTCCCCTTCTCTATTTATCATTTCACCTGCAAAAGTTTTACAGTATATCAGTACCTTATGTACCCTGCCTGTAAATATAAAAGAAAATAGAATAAGTTCACCCAAATTTCACTGATTCAATCTCAATTTAAAAAAAAATATCATACTGTTTAACAACATTGCAACTGAAATTCGCTAATAATGGAAATTAGGGAAACATCGATCAATGAAGCAAGAAAATCCCCAATTCGGGAATTCCTACATAAAAATGATACTAATTAGACAATTAAGCACAACGAAATAACAGGCCCTAGGTTAATAAATGAAAATGAATATTAGTTTCCTAAAGCAATCAAGTAGAACATGCAAACCCTAAAAAACCTGAGGGGGAGTGCAAATTGAAAGCAAAAGCAAGAACAGATGCGATCGGAGATTCGAGAATTCCGATGGCAATAATCAGAATCGCGAGGATGATGACGTCGATGGAAAACAAAAAGGGGACAGAACACCGCCTGAATCGCACGTACGAAGAGAAATTCACCACCACCGTTGAATACCGCGAGTGACAGATGAGAAAAACAACAAACAAACAAACAAAATATCGAAAAGCGAAAGTACGGAGCGAATGGATTTAATTTTTCTGGGATTAGGTCTGAAATTAAAAAAATTGCATTGGAGAATTAATTATCCTTTCTTTTTTCCCTCTTTCAAGCTGGGTAAATATAAATTTTAAGTAGGTTTACGTATCTATAATTTATTTGAATTTGATGATTGCTACAGTTTTTTTTTTTATTCTTTTTGGCAATGGTAATAGTAATTTTTTTTATTAATTTGGGTAACCATACAGTATTGTTTATCACTTTCAACCTTTTAATGTAGAATTATTTATTTCAAACTCAAATCTTAAAAAATAATAATAATTTTTTTATACAAAATATATTTAATTTGAACAGCAATAATAATTTTTAAAATTCGATAACGAAGGTTAATAATGATAGTTGCAAATAAATAGAGGCGGGACTGAAAAGAGAGCTAACAATATTAAGACACTATAGCTTTTTACTCCCACAAAATTAGAAGCTAGGGCTGCCACATGGGAATTTACTTTAATGCCTTCCTGAGTGAATTAACAATTTTTTTTAATTTGATTCAGTTTAAAAAATAAAAAATTAATCACTTATGTTACTATATTTTACATTAAAAAGGTGTTTGAGTGAAGCGTTTGAAGAAAATTTTGGTTGAAAGTTCTATAGATTTGCATGTAATACGCATGAAAGTTTTCACGGCAAGCAAAACAAGTTCCGATTACATCACACTCGAACAAGCATAAACCCGACTGCCGATTACGCTTACAAGTCTACGATTTCATCATCCTACACAACTTTTAGCTCTTTAAGCCATGCTGTATGTAGGGGGCATGGATCCGGTTTTCCGTCAGCAATTGCCTTCTCGGAGATTTTGTAGAACCATCCATTCCTCCACTTGAACTGTATCAATATGAATACAACAGACTTAGAAAGAAAGAATCAAAGAAACAAATTATGATCTTCAAAGAATTTTCGATGCCATAAACTGCAATCCTTTACCTCTTTAACCGCTGTCGGGAAATGAGCAACGGCTCGAGCATAAGCACATAATCTGTCCTCCATAGCTTCTTCAAATGTTATACCATTCTCTGCGGCAGCAGCTGATGCAAGCTCTGTGATGACGCTTGATACCTGAAAACTTGGATTTTCAGTTCATACGATCCACTTAGAGGTGCATAACAAAACTAATGGACCAAGTAATATACTATTGATAAGGAAACTGCACCTCAGAGCGGTATTCCTTCTCGACAACGCCTACAGTTGCCCCGGGATGACGAGCTCCAACAAGCATGAATGCGCAAATCCAAATGAGTTTCTCCAGCATCTGCTTCTGAAATGCTTCTTTGTCTAGAACCTGATCAGAACAATATTTGTTTCAATAAACAACCGAAGAAAATACCTGATAAAATTTAGAGATCCAATGTGGTCACTAAACCTACAAATTTATACCACTTCAATCGACTAATTATTAAAACCATCCACCGGGATTAATTAAACATGATCACATGAAGGCACCATGAACAATCTAAATCACCAGGAACTCCATGTCCAAGTAACATAAGACAATAGTAAAAATGTATGTTGTACCTTGCAAGAGAGGTCACCAGCAAGCAATCTGGTAGCTATGGCAGATGCCCATTTCCCATAAGCTGCAGTTAGACCTTCAGGATTTGTGTCAGTCTTGCCATCCGTAGGAGGTTCTCCAAGCTTTGAAACTGCAAAATATTCCAGCACCTGGTCTGCATCACTAAGACCTTTGCTTTGAAGCCATGGCTCCAGCATGCCATTCTGGAAAAAAACCAAATCTGCTACATCATCAACACCCAATGGATGATCAAATCATTTTGAATTGAATCAACAAGGTTGCAGATAAATAAATAAATCCGTAGACTGAAGTACATTGCATTGATGCACAAACTAGGGAGGAAATGATAAAAGAAACTTTCCCCAGAATAATGCATCATATTCATCAAATAAAGTAGGAATCAAAATGTAATTCAGCTATGTAATGATACTCAATTGAACCATTCAAATGTTTTATAAGGAATAAAAACAAGAGCTTTCTTTATAAATATCCATAGACAAATTAAACCAAAAGCATAATAAAAGATCAACCCTTTTTGTTTAATAAAACAAAATGAGCAAAGAGAGAATATGATCAGGTAAAGGTACCGTTCCAACGAGGTTTAGGAGTGGCCTCAAGCACAGCCTCGAGATCATGATTCCTAGTACAAACCAAGATGGGACCATCAAAATCAAGCGGCACAGGTTCAACTCTCTTCACCAGCAAATCATCTCCCTTTCCCATAACTTGCAACGCCTTTCCCACTCTTCCACCGCCGACAATAACTGCCGGCGCCACTTTTGCAGCAGTAGCCGTGGGAGGAACAGTCATGAGAATGGAGGTCCGCTTGTTTGGTCTAGAAAAGCGTGTAGCGGTGAAAAGAGAATGGGTCCAAAGGAGAGAAGAGCTAGAGAGTATGGCCATGAGGATGGGTTAGTTTGGTGGTGGGCGTTGGAGTCATGGTTGATTCGTGTTTTTTGTTTATTGAGTGGTAAGCGACACCAGCCACTCAATTCTTGGGGTGACCTTATCAGTTTGTGAATTCTATCCAGATGTAAAATCACAGAGGAGACGAAATACGGTGAGAAAGAATCCCCAGCTCTAGTGTTTATCGCCAGACAAAACAAAAAGCCTTGGAGCTACACCTGTCGGGCTATCTGTATGGCCCAGAAAAACTGATCTCGGACAAAGAGATTTTGAAGTCAGGCCAGTCCAAATTTATTCGAGCATCCTTATATTTAATTATTTATTATATAAAAAAACATGAATAAATAAACTCAAAAAATTAAAATAATTTTATCTAGGCTTATACTGGAATTGGCTTTGTAGGACAATGGAAGGCAAACAATACTAGAGCTTGGAAGAGTGGATGGATACAACTATGTTACGGATTTCAGGTATCCATTAACAGGATACCAAACATTTTGTATTTGCTTCGCTTAGATTGATTCAAAGTTTTGTTGCACCATGTAATTGAAGAATCCCTGCATTTTTACTATTTATTAATACATGTAGGTTTTATTCTTAATAATTTGACATAATTAAATATTCGTTTGATTTCATATTTATTATATTTTGGTTATAACATAAGTTGCTATCCAGAAAACATATCAAGTCTCAAACTTTAAAAGAAAGACCAAAAAATCATATAAGATTCATGAAATAGAAGAACTTCATTTCCTTGCACACTTCATTCAATCTGAACCCATCCTTCAATTTTAACTTGTGATTCAAAAACTCTCATTTCTTGTCCATTAAATCTTTGCTCATCATCGGTATCTCTTTTCTCATCTCACTATTCATCAATGGAGTAACCTACTCCTTTACAACAAAAAACCAGAAATCCTTATCATTTTTGCTTTCACTACTTTCATACCATGAGCATATAGTTCTTGCGGTAGTCATTAGCATGTTACATATAAGCCAAAATCACAATTGTTAGCTTGTTGAGGTTTGTCAATACATTTTAGATACTTGTTGTCATCGGCTGAACTAGAATTGTTAATATAAGTGACTACAGATTTATACAAATTCATGACATGCCTCTTATTCATCCGTTGACTGCTATCATGATGCACAAAGACATTAGCACTTGGTGGTATTGAGGGGATCGACGGAGACCTCATTACCAACGACATTCTATTTCAGTGTGAGTGTTGTAGCACCCTAATTGAATCTGACCTGAAGTCCGAATGATTAGAATGTCACAAGGAACCACCTAAGTGGCTAATCATTTTTTTAAAAAACATCTGACCATTTCAACAATCGAACTCAATATAAATGCCCAAAATGATAGTATGAGTACTAAACGTACATACGGGGAGCTCCCGACAACAGTCTCCAAAATACATTAGTATAAAATAGAGTTTACTCAAATAAATAAATATTTAGGGTCTATGACAGTACATGTCCTCTACAATATTCTAGTCTGATAAAAGATCGAGTCTAAAAGTCCTAAATCCGGTGATGAACTCCTCAACTGACACATAAGAACCTGCATACGGAAACACATTTCCATACGCTGAGCTCACAAGCTCAGTGTTACAAAAGTAACCAAACTACACTACATGCATCCAACATATAAGCATGTTACAAATATAGATATGAACATTTGCATACGCTAACACAACAACCAAGTAAGCATCGTGGCGTAGCCCGAGGTCAGTTGGCATCACGAGACTAACACCCCTATGTACTTACTAAGAATCTTAGGCAAGACCTGGATCATAAAGCATCAGCGTCTCCATATACCTTGAGCTAGGTTCGAGTCACATAGCATCGATACCCTGCTCAGCTAATCTACTCCTCTAGAGTACTCGGGATGTGCCCGAGTCACTTAGCGTCAGCACAACATCTAACTAGAAGTTTAAAGTGCACAAACACTGGATTGGATATATCTGGATAATTCTTAACTCAACAATACCATTGTCATACACAAGTAACTAGGTTGTCCTCAATGTTTCCCAAGTATCAAGCAAGGCATAAGTAACTATACCATTTCTGGTGACAATGCTAATCGGTAAGCTACAGGTCCGACCCTCCCAAGAATTTCATAGGGTCCAATAAAGCATAGAGTTAACTTCCCTTTGTGCCCAAACTGAAGCACATTTTCCAAGGTGACATATTTAAGAAAACCTTGTCGCCCACTTTGAACTCTATTCCTTGCGCTTCAAGTTTGCATATGATCTTTGTCGTCAAAATCTTTCTTTAGTCGACTCTAAATCAATCGAACTTTATCTTTAGCTTATCTGATTAGATCAAGACCCACTATTCTTCTTTCTATAAGCTTTGTCCAACACAAATGTGTCCTACATTTCTTTCCATACAAGGCTTCGTAGGGAGCCATCTGAATACTCAACTAGTAGTTGTTGTTGTATGCAAACTCGACTAATGGTAGGTGATCCTACCAACTACACTCGAGGCCTATCACGTAACATCTAAGCATGTCTTCAAATATTTGAATCACACGCTCAGACTGGTTGTTCTTCTGTGGATAGAAAGTGGTATTGAAATACAACCGGGTGCCAAAGGCCTCGTGAAGTGCTTTCTAAAACCTCAAAGTGAAATATGGATCTCGATCACATAAAATAGATATTGGTACTCCATGCAGCCTCACTATCTCCTGAATATATAGCCTAGCCAATCTCTCCAGGGTAAAAACCATGAGAACGAATAAAAAATGAACATACTTGGTTCATCGGTTGACCACTAACCAGATTGTGTCGTGCTTCTTTCATGTCATTGGTAACCCACTCACAAAATCCAAAGTCACTCCATCTCATTTCCAATGCGGAATTTGGATAGGCTGAAGCTACCTAAGTGGAACTTGATGTTTCGCTTTAACATGTTGACAATCCAAGCACATAGACACAAACTCAGTTATTTCCTTTTTATTCCTGGTCACCAATATAATTGACGAATGGATTGGTACATCTTGCTTCCTCTAGGATGGACTGAAAATATACTACAATGCACCTTACTAAGAATCTTAGATCGTAACTCCTTGCTCGATGGAACACACAAGCATCATCGAATGAATAACACATCGTTGTTCTTTAGCTCAAAACTAGGCCCTTTGTCACGACGAGTATGTTCAATGTTAGCTAACAAGAGATCATCAGTCCGTTGAATTTCCCTCACTTCCTTAACCAACTCGGGTTCAACTTGCTAGTCAACTAACAACCCACTATCATCGGTCAAACTCAAACGTACAAGCAATTATCAAAGATTAGACACTGTATTTAGACTCAAGGCATATGTCACTACGTTCGTTTTACTCGGGTAATAGTCGATCATGTAGTTATAATCCTTAAGAAACTCCACCCAACATCGTTGTCTCAAGTTTAACTCCATTTACATGAGTAAATATTTCAGACTCTTGTGGCTAGTGAAGATATAATACTTCTCTCTGAAGAGATAGTGCCTAAAATCTTCAAAACAAAGATTGCGGTTGCTAGCTATAGATCATGAGTTGGGTAGTTGCGTTCATGCGGATCAAATTATCAGGACACATACACCACTACTTTACCTTCCTACATCAACATGCAACCCAACCCATTTAGCGAAGTGTCACTAAACACGGTGCAATCCTTACTCGACTTCGATTGAGTCAACATTAGTGCTCGAGTCAAAATCTCTTTTAATCTCTCGAAGCTCTACTGACTTTTATCATCCCATACAAACGGTACCCCTTTTTGCAGTAGCTTTGTCATCGAAATGAAAATCATAGAAAATCATTTCACGAAACACCAGTAGTAACCAACAAGTCCTAGAAAATTGTGCACCACAGACACATTCCTCAGTGGATCTCACTTAACCATGGCTCGGATCTTTTGAGGGTCAACTCGGATACCCTCGACAGACACTACATGACCCAAAAATGACACATTTGTAAACACCCATTTTTGACAAAGTTTAAAAAATATTATAATTATAATTATAATACTAATAATTATTATTATTATTATTACATTTTGTGTAGGCCATTGTCACAACCCAAATTACAAACACAGATCAAACGCGGAACCTAACAAGCTTAACCCGATACCCCGTTCAAGCTGGATCCGACTCATAAAGGGCCCGAACTATCCTAATATGATGACCCATATGAAATTAGGGTTTTTGAAACCCTAAACTAAAGCAACAACAACCACCTAATGTCGAGCCACCGATGAGCTACCATGGCCAAGCCGAGACATCAACCGAGCCGAGCCATCACCGATCAACATCATCAAGCATCGTCAAGCCGATCTGCACGAAATCAACAATAGACAGCAACCAAATCACTCAATATCTACTGAATCATCCCTAAAGTCAAAAAAGAATAAAATAATCTAAATCCTGAAAAATCTGGATTTTATTTCATATATTCAAACCCACATGCAACCACCTTTAAAAGGGAGTCTCGAATGAAAAAAAAGGAGGCGATATTCGAGCAGAGAAATACCAAAAAAAGAAAAAACAAAAGGAGGAAGAGAGACTTACAGTGAAAGTCCAAAGCTGATCGGGAACACAACGATCGTTTTTTTTTCAGTCTTCGAAGGTAAAAACCTTAGATCTAGTGTGATAGGGGTTTGTTTTGGTGAAACGGGTTTGGGTTTTGAGTTGTAGGAAGAGAGACGTGTCATTTGAGGGGAGTTTGTCTCTCCGACCACAACGGCTCTGCCGTGGCCACCGTCAGTGTAGGGCAACCTTCCCTTCTCCGATCAAGAAACTTTGAGAGAGCTTAAACTCTCTCTCTTTTGCTCGTTTTTTGAAAAATGAACAAATGAGGGTAAATGGATGAGAGGCCTCGGTTAGTAGGCTTAAATATCCCCAACAAAACGACGTAGTTTTGTGGGGGACCTGTTCGATAATTTTGCGCGTAGGTAAATTCTCTTTTGAGCCATTTTCCTTTGTAATTTTATGCTTCAATCATTAAATTGAGTTTTATTTTATTTAGTTTCGAGCACTTTATTTTTCAGTTATTATGTTTTAGTCCTATTATTACATGATATGTTATTATTGTGAATATTTGATTTTGGTTACAATATTTTCAATTATTTCATTTTAGCCAATAATTTAAGTATTGTAATATTATGTTTTGGGC